CTTAGCAGCCAACTCGTCCCAGGCCCATAGTCCGGCCCTGCAATGGTCTGAGAGACAGTGAACTGGCCTCCTGTTTAAAAAGTTTGAGGACCCCTGTCCTAGAGCTTTGTTCATATTTTCAAGGAGGTCTGTGATCTCCATAATTTGAAGTCCTCTGCCTGCCTCCTTTCAAAGATAAGAAACAGGAAATCATAACTTCTGATTATCTCCCATTTAAGGTATACTGAATCACAAGTGTACAGGAGGATAAAGAGCTGCTTAGCCCTGAAACTATGGCTTCTGACAACTTTGCTAGCTGGGGTGGGAGAATATCCTCACGATCAATCTTTCACTGAGTTCATGACCATTATTCAACTCTTTTTTTTTTCTGTCTTAAATTCAAGACAAAACTTAAATGAATTAGCTAGTTAACTAAATCATTACTTAAATCATCAGATGGGTTAATACATATAAAACTTTTTCAAAAGTGCATTAAGTGCTCCACAAATGTCCACTGGTATTACAACCACCACATCCTCTCCACAGCTCCGAGCAATCCCTCCTCACTCCCCAGAATGTTCATAAACAGTCTCTTTAGTCCTGTCCTCTTTCCTTCTTTTTCTTATTTTTGCTCAATGTCCCCTGGAAAATATTTCACTTTCCTCCTCTGCCCCTAATTTGTGAGAAAAATATAGATCCCGTTTATGTAAGCAGTGTAGCAATCTATCATTGCCAAGAGAAACAAAGCTGTGAGTCTGAAAATAAAATAAGAACAAATAGCACAGTCATCTCTATCAATGATGAGAGCTTGTGAAAGTATCCAACAGTCCTCCAGAATCCCTGCAGGAGTGACGAATGTTCATCTACTTCATCTAATTCAACCTGTTATTATTCAATAACTAACTTCCAAGATCAACTTGATTTTTTTTTCTAATTTGATTTGATTTTCTGGAGAGATGGATTTGGGCATGGTTCTCAGTTAGAACTTAGTTTTTGAACCACTCATACAAAAAGCATAAAATCAGAGTGAGGGGACTGGATCATGAAAATGGGCCTTCTGGGACAGCAATACTGATGGTGCCTCCAGCCCATAACCTGCTGGGTTCCCTCAGGGTGAGGGTGCTGCCTTGGTGATGCTGAGTGTAGCCAGAGCTCCAGGAATATCTGATGTTTGTAAATAGTCCCGTAAGCAGAGCTCCATGTATCATTGGCGTGAGCTCGTCCAGGTTGTGCATGTAAGTTGTGATGACAAAAGGTCAGTGGTGTAGTAAGATTTCAGCTTACAGCTGTGGCAAGACCTACCCTTATCCAGACACTGGCAATGGGAACTCTGGGGCCCAAGAGAAACCAGGTCGAGATATGCCACCCTTGCCCTGCCCTGGAAGTCACCCACCTCATTTCCAATAAGATTTTGTATCCTTGGCTAATTTAATCAGAAACTTAATCATTTTAACCATGTTCGGTGTGTGTATAGGGGAAGGATGTCATTTCATTTTCTGTCATAATCTATAATTCCCCTGAATCATTAAAACTTGACCTTCGATTCTCTGCTGGTTATTATTTCCATCGATTTTTATCTCAGTCATGTGATTTATAATATTTGCCTCATGTGCACCTGTCTTCTCAACTCCAAATTGATTTGTACATGAATTTTTGAACTGCTTTGTATGCTAGAAACTACCTACCCTTGAGAACAACATTAGAGACCAGCCATAAGCCTCAAAGTACATTAACTATGATCACTTAAGAGAGAGTCTGTTAAGGGGCCATGTGTAGACCTATGGATCACGTGATAGGCTTCTAAAACATATATAGGAAACCTCTGGCTTCTTTTAGTGTTATTTGGCCAATGAAGGGTGCCCAGAGAGTTATTTCCAATTATTAGCTTTAAGCAATGCCATCCACTAGAACTTTCTGAGATGATGGACATGTTTGAGATCTACACTACCCAACATAAAGGTCACTATTGGGCACTTGAGATATAGCAAGTGTGACTGAGGAATTGAATTTTTAAATTTAATTTTATTTAAATTAATATAAACCTACATTTAAATACTTACATGTGGCTAGTGGCTATCATACTTGGCAGTGTAGCCTGATTATTTAAAAAATGGAAACAAATTAAGTCTGGTTGAATCCCAGTCATATAAAAACAACATGTACAAATTAGTTCAGGAATACTGCTCCAGACCAAAATGATTCATTTTTATCCCTGGAGAGTTTTAAAGTTATACTTAAAATAAAACAATTTGCTATCAGAACCAGTGACACACACATTCACCCATCCTGGACTGGATCTCATACAAAAGATTCTGAGCAGGGAAATACTGATTTTTTAAAGAAATTACAATTTTTCAGGTATTGAAAGCGTGAACAATCCTAATCTTTCCAAAAATAAAAGAAAATCAGTTAGCAATAATTGTCACTATAACTTTTTTAAGACAAATTAGCTAGCCAATGCCTTTGAGATTAAAAATTAA